GTGTTTGAGCAAGGTTAGCTCGTGTTTATCATTTCTCCCAGCTTTAGCATGATAAATTAGGAATTATCATGATGAAAAATGATGCCATGCACGTACAAAATATGGAGATATGATTTTTCGAAGTTTAGGCCCTTAAATTCGGAAATGGAGTAACATGCATGAGTAGGCCGATTTTTATAGCTCATTATCCCTCAATAATCATGTTAATGACATTGGTAAAAGATTGGCATGCTTTGAGTTCATATGTTCGGTCAAGTTGTTAGGGAAATCAAACTTATTTTCACCTCCGAGCCTAAGTTATATGCATGCGAGTATTAGCCAATGTTCTAGCCTCTAAAGCCATGATTTTTTATGTATTGTATTGGGCCTTAAGTGAAATTATAAGTTGAACATGTTCGTTCGGTGACCTAGGGCTCAAGGGTGCCATATCGGCCCTACCGAGCCAAGTAAAATCCAACCGAGTTGCCCTAGCATTTCTTGGCATATTTACATGTTTTATATCATGTTATGTTGGTTTAGTTCGGTTGTCACTGGCAAAGTAGCCGAAAGTCCGGCAAGGTCCGGCCACGGCCACTGGCCGCGCATGCAGCGCGCGCAGTGCCGGGGCCGTGTCCAATAGAGGCTAAGTCTGCCCTGTCCAGTGCTTTCAGAGGCTAAGTTAGGCCCCCGTCAGTGCCCACGCCCGGTAGGCGCGAGGCACAGCGGTACCAGCACATGCGACAGCGCCCCAGCAGCGCCTGTCTGTGTCCGCATGCGAGGTCTCGGCGCTAGTCGCGCCCAAGCACCTCCGACAGCACCCGACAGTCGTTCCAGCCGCATGCCCGAGTGTTCAGTGCCGTACCCAGCGAACCCGAATGGTGTTCCTTGTGCTCAGTTGGCCTCGGTACGTGCCCAGCAGCAAACCCGAGTGCCCATGGTCGCCCTGCAGCGCCCTAATCACCCCAGCCGCTCCAGAGCCCGCGGGGGTAGTGTCTGTCCGCACCAGTTGTGCCAGACCCGAGTCCGGCCGTGCTTAGAAGCACGCCAGCGCCCCAGTCAACCTCGGTTCTGCCCAGCAGCACCCGAGTGGCCCAGTTGTGCCAAGGCCGTGCTAGCAAAGCCTGGCCGCGCCTGTCAGCTCCCAGCAGCGCCCAACACCGAGGTCCGGTCGCACCCAGCTCGTGCCTAGCGCCGCGCCAGGGCACCAGCAGGCCTTGCGCGGGACCGAGCCCGGCCAGTCCATGCAGCTCGTGACCACCCGCTCCATAGTGACCCGACAGTCCAACCCGGTCCAGTTCAGCCCGACCCGGTGTCAGCCAGTTAGCGAACGGCCAGTTTAGCTGGCGGTTCGAGTCAGTTTTGGTTTGTGATTTTCGGTCCGAGTCTTATTCCGAAATCTAAGTATTTTTCCGAGCCAAACCAGTTCAGTTGAGCATATCAGTCTAATTTTCGGACTTAGAATTATTTTAGTGAACCCTTAGAGTGTTCCTTTATATCCGAATGAGTTATCTGATAGAGTAGAGCATCTTAGCATATTATTGAGCATATGATGAGCATAGTACTTAGTATATTTGTTTGCTTATATTTTTATGTAGCTTGAGAAGTCAGCTACCAGCACAGCCGTACTTACGAATTTTCAAAGCAAACCAGGTGGGGACCCAGTCTGGGTTATACATTGAGTATAATTGTTTATATCATGTTCAGGTATGTATATGAGTTTTATCCGCTTAGGGATGAGGCCGAGTTACCCTCGCCTAAGTTCTGGCGGTGGCTCAGTTCACCCTAAATATACCATCAGAGTGTGCACACGGTACCGACCAGAGTGTCTGGGAGTTACCGGCCAGAGTGCCCGGGAGATTACAGTTACCGGCCATAGTGTCCGGGAGATTTCAGTTTACTTATGCATACTCGTACTGTGATATCATTATTATTATTGGTGTTTACTTTAGCCTGGGTTTTTATGGAGTACAAGAGGACCAGTACTCACCCCCATTATGTTTTCCAGATGACAGGGTCGGTGGGCAGGCGTGAGGGCAGTTGTGGTGGTTGTGGTCCTGGAGTTGGCACAGCGAGCCATTCCAGGGACATTTGTTTAATATGATTTGTATAACTATTAATACCATGCATTTTTGGACTTCCGCTACGTGTATTTGCCGTATCGAACTGTAGTTCGAACTCTAGTCTAACTCTAGATTATCGAGTTATTTTCAGCAACTCGTCAAGAAATTTGTGCCTATTTCATTATTCAGCGTTTCCTTTCAGCCTTATTCAATTTTCATCTCCTGTTCTGACCAAGTTATGCGACTTATTATTCAGATGGCACGCCGTCAGAATCAGGCTCAGCGGGAGATGACTCAGGCAAAGGTAGTCCCCAGTTCCGCGACTACAATCCCGACAAGTTTACGGGGCAGGGAGATCCTCGCCTAGTTGATGAGTGGATATAGGGTCTCGAGGCTATTTTCGAGATCATCGAGTGCTCCGAGAGGCACAACATCCTGTGTGCCCAAGTTCAAATGACGGGAGACGCCAGGCTGCGGTGGAACTCCTACTGGTGCATGCGCCCTGGTGAGAAGGAGAATCTCACATGGCCGCAGTTCAAGGAGATGCTGAGGGATAAGTATTACCCCGATACCTACAAGGCTGAGATGGAGCGTCAGTTCTTGGCGCTTAAGCAGGGCCACTGCTTAGTGGATGAGTATGAGTGAGAGTTCGTTCGTCTCGGGTCCTTCGTTCCCTATTTAGTGGACACCGAGACAAAGAAGGCGAGACTCTTCCGTGATGGATTACTGTCAGCTATCCGTCACCACGTAGCGGGAAATGGCGTCCAGTCTTACTTCGATGTTGTCGCCAAGGCGCAGGAGACAAACGCCAGTCTCAGGATGGATCTGGTTCAGTCGTCAGTTCAACCCCCAGCGTTGCCCCCAGCTCAGTATCCAGCATTACCCCCGGCTCAGCCAGCGCCTGTCCAACAGGCGAAGCCTAAGAACAAGAGAAAATGGAAGGGTCAGCAGAATGACCAGAGGAACATGCAGAGACAACCACAGATTCCACCATGTGGCACCTGCGGACGCCCACACCGCGTAGATTGTCTTGCCGGGCAGAACATTTGCTACAACTGTCGGAGGCCTGGACATACCATCCGGAATTGTCCGGATAGGCAGCAGCACCCGCCCCAGCAGCAGCCCTGACAGCAGCAGCAGCAGCAGAGGCCACCTCAGCAACAGAGGCGAGGACAGCAGGCACATGTTTATGCAGTCGAGCAGGCCGAGGCAGAGCAGAACCCAGGTACTATGTTTGGGATGATTATTTTGAATGATATGCCTATATTTGCTCTGTTCGACACTAGTGCGACGCACTCGTTTATATCGACCCGATGTGTAGAGGCCATTGGAGTTCAGCCCATCAACACTGTTGACCCTCTCGAGGTAAGCCTAGCCTCAAGAAGGAAGATAGTGATGAGCTCCAAGGCAGACGACCTTAACCTTAGTATTGGCTGCCGAATCTTGAAGGCCGAAGCTTATGTTATCGAGATGAGGGATTTCGACCTCATTCTCGATATGAATTGGTTGACGCGTTATCGAGCGGATATTCGTTGCCACCATCGGAAGGCTATTCTTCATCTTCCGAAGGACAGTCAGATCACGTTTTTCGGCTCGAAGACGCGAACCCTACCTCGTGTCGTTTCAATGGCGAAGGCGAGGAAGATTCTGCGTAGAGGAAATTGTTAGGGTTACTTGGTGAGCCTTGTTGAAGAAGGATCGAGAGCACAAACACCTCATGACGTTCCAGTCATTCGTGAGTTTGTGGATGTGTTCTCAGATCAGCTACCAAGAGGACCACCCAGCAGACAGGTAGAGTTCACCATTGATCTTGTGCCAGGAGCAGGACCGGTGTCAAAAGCGCCGTACCGAATGGCTCCGAAGGAGTTGCAGGAGTTGAAGACGCAGATCGAGGAGTTGTTGAAACTCGGTTTCATTCGATCGAGTGTCTCACCTTGGGGAGCACCCGTCTTATTCGTCAAGAAGAAAGACGGATCCATGGGAATGTGCATCGATTACCGGGATCTCAACCGATTAACGGTGAAGAATAAGTATCTGCTCCCCAGGATAGACGACTTGTTTGACCAGCTGAGAGGAGCTTGCGTATTTTCTAAGATCGATTTTTGCTCAGGCTATCATCAGCTGAAGATTAAGGAGTCCGACGTAGCCAAGACTGCTTTCCGGAAGCGATATGGGCACTACGGGTTCGTGGTTATGCCGTTTGGTTTGAGTAATGCACCAGCGGTGTTCATGGATTTGATGAATCGGGTGTTCCATCAGTACTTAGACTGATTTGTTATCGTCTTCATCGATGACATATTGGTCTACTCCAAGAGTTTGGAGGAGCATGAGTAGCATCTGAGGGTTGTTCTCGGGACCCTTAGACGAGAAAAGTTGTACGCCAAGTTCTCCAAGTGTGAATTTTGGCTGAAGAGAGTGGCATTTCTAGGCCACATCATCACCGAGAGAGGCATAGAGGTTGATCCAGCGAAGATTGCCGCAGTTCATAACTGGTTAGCGCCCAGAAATCCCACCGAGGTTCGGAGTTTTCGCGGTCTAGCAGGGTACTATCGCAGGTTTATTGAGGGGTTTTCGAAGATTGCCCTCCCCTTGTCCAAGTTCACGAGGAAATCTGTGAAGTTTGAGTGGGCGAATCGTTGTGAGGAGAGCTTTCAAGAGATCAAGAAGAGGCTTACGACGGCTCCAGTGCTGACTATTCCGGATCATACTCGAGGTTTCACCATCTATAGCGATGCCTCGAAGCAGGGTCTTGGGTGTGTGCTTATGCAAGATGGCCAAGTCATCGCGTACGCTTCATGTCAGTTGAAGCCCCATGAGCAGAATTACCCTACGCACGATCTAGAGTTGGTAGCGATTGTGCATTCGCTCAAGATTTGGCGCCATTATTTGTATGGTGGTCGGTGTGAGATCTTTACCGATCACAAGAGTTTGTAGTATATCTTCACACAGAAGGAGCTCAACATGCGCCAGAGGCGATGGTTGGAGCTTGTGAAGGATTATGATTGCACCATTCAGTACCATCCGGGGAAGGCGAACGTAGTAGCAGACGCCCTAAGCCGAAAGGTGAGGGGTGAGTTAGTTTGCTCTATCACTCAGCAGCGTCAGTTGATTCATGAGTTCGCCCGGATGCAGCTAGAGGTGGTCGAATCACCTCCCAAGTTACCAGTTGTGAGAGGTATTCGAGCGATGAGAGTGTGGCCCACGTTACAAGATAAAATTCGGCGTGATCAAGCATTTGACGATTTCGTTCGTACGATAGGGGCCAAGATTCACGCCGGTGGAGTAGAGGGCCTTTACCGAGGCACAGCTGGTACCTTTGAGTACAAGGGAAGGATTGTTGTGCCGAATGTCGAGGCAATGAAGAAGGAATTACTGACTGAGGCCCACAGTACGCCATATCTAGCCCACCCTGGGAGTACCAAGATGTACCACGAATTGAAAAGGTCGTTCTGTTGGCGAGGGATGAAAAGAGATGTAGCAGACTTCGTGGAGAAGTGTTTGGTCTGTCAACAAGTTAAGGCCGAACACAAGTGTCCCATAGGTCTGCTACAGCCACTTGAGATTCCCAGCTGGAAGTGGGAAGAGGTTACCATGGACTTCGTCACAGGGCTACCTAAGTCGTCCGAGCATCACGACGCAATTTGGGTAGTGGTAGACAGGCTGACGAAAGTCGCACATTTTATGCCTGTGTCAATGACCATGTCGATGGATCAGTTAGCCGACATATATACCCATGGGATCGTTCGACTCCACGGAGTGCTCGTTATGATCATATCCAGTTGAGACACCAGCAGATTCTGGGAGAGTTTGCATGAGGCAATGGACACCCAGTTAAAGTTCAGTTCGGCTTACCATCCAGAGACGGACGGCCAGTCCGAGAAGATGATCCAGACGCTCGAGGATATGCATCGAGCCTTGATTCTGGACAGAGGTGCTAAGTGGGAGAAGTGGTTGCTACTAGTCAAGTTCGCCTACAATAACAGTTATCAGGCATCGATTCAGATGGCTCCCTACGAAGCACTTTACGGCCGCAAGTGTCGTTCGCCCCTTTACTGGGATGACGTCGGAGAGCGACGAGTACTCGGTCCGAAGTTGATCGAGGAGACAGTTAAGCAAGTAGCCTGGATCAGAGAGAGGCTCAAGATAGCCCAGAGTCGCAAAAGTCCTCAGCTGACAAGCATAGACGAGAGATGCATTTTGAGCCTGGAGATCATGTCTTCATGAAGGTTCTACCAATGAGAGGTGTCGTCCGCTTCGGGAAGAGAGGGAAGTTGCATCCTCGCTACATAGGTCCGTTCGAGGTTCTCGAGCGAGTGGGCGAAGTCGCCTATCGAGTAGCTCGGCCTCCCAAGTTGGCTAGCGTACATAACGTGTTTCACATTTCGATGTTACGCCCATACGTGTGCGATCCCGAGCATGTGCTTCAGCACAATGAGATTCAGCTTCAGCCAGATTTGACTTACGAGGAGCAGCCGGTAGCATTATTGGATCGAAAGGTCCTTCGGCTCAGGAAACGAGATATTCCCCTCATTCGTATCAGAAGGAATCGCCACGGAGATTCAGATGCCACTTGGGAGCGTGAAGTGGACATTAGAGCTCGTTTTCCAGATTTGGATTTCTGATATGTACCTAGTTGTATGTATTCCAGTTCTAGTATTTCCGTGGGCGGAAATATTTTTAAGGGAGATAGATTGTAATAGCCCAATTCTGTATTAATAAAAGTGACAGTTTTAGTTCCAAGTTTGAACTATTTTTCCTTTTATTAATGTTGCTCGTCTTGAGTTCCGAGCCCAGTTATTCAGCTATTCAATTTCAGTTATTAATTCCGGTCCATTTATTTTAGAAATGAATTCTATTCAGTCGGAATTAATGATTCCAGTTAACGAATAATCGAAACCGAGTATGTTTCGATAAATCGCCCAAATCAAGCCGTGTCCGGAATCGAGTCGTTCGGTCACGAGCCTCGCGCCTAGTTCGCTTCTAGTCAAGTCTCGAGACCTAGCCGTCCCGAGTCTTGTTCGAGCCCTAGTCATGCTCATAGCCTTACTTAGAATATTTTCTAAGTATGAGACCATTTTTTTTATCGAGCCTAAGTATGAACCCCTCGGTCGAGAGGAACCACGCACCGAGCTTGTGCAAAGGTTCAAGACCCCACGCCCAAGTGCCGTGCGCCTCGCCAAGACGCGAGTGACCAAGCCATGGCCGAGTGTTTTTGGGATTTTTCCTACGTGTTGGGGCTCATTAAGTCAGCCAAGAACCGAGCAAGTCTCTCGGTCCAAGTCCTTAGTGTCGAGCCTAAGGGATGCACGCCCTAGCCCTCGCGCGGGTCCTTGTTCGAGCCTAGCATGGCCAAAGGTTTACAAGGATATTTCTAAGTGTTTTGAACACTTAAGTTCGGCCATATATCAGTCATGCCTTAATATTATTCTCGGCCCAAATTCATATGGCATGTCGCGCGCCAGCCCAGCAAGTGCCGCGCCTGGCCCGCGTGCACTAAGCCTAGCGCGGGTCCATTTTCTTTGGCCCAATGGGATAAATTCCGAGCCCAGGACTTAGCCCAAGTACCATGCGTGTGTTAAGGACAATCTGGAGTTTAATTAAGCTTAAGACATGGTTAAGAAAGATTAAGGAGGTCAAATGGATATTAGGAATATTTTAATGGTAGTGGTCATGTTCATGTGCATTTTTTAAATGCTTGGAGCCTTGTCCTTTAGTGCAGCCACTACCAGACCTTGTTCCCTGTCCAGATGCTCTGCAAGATGCCCTCTTTACTCGTGCAAGGTCAGCTTCTCCTCCACCCAAGCCATGCAAGACCGTGCAAGACCCTTTCCCCATGCGCCTAGGAATTTTGGTGCGCCACTTTGTCCCCCTTGGCTTCATTGTATGCTCCGCCCTCATCCTCTATATAAGCCACTATCTCCTGATGTGTTTAAGCTCTTGGTCATCTTAAATCACTTAAGTATTTTGAGATAAAATAGCAAGAAACCGGGGAGGACCCTTAGCACTTTTCTCGCGCGCGCACTGAGCTCGGGTGAAAGAAGGCCGCGAGTTTCACTTGCTCCAGCCGTGTACTCTTGTAACTTATCATCTTCCAAGAGTTACTTGAATTTTTATAAGTTCATAGAGTCCCTCATTCTCAACAATTAACCCCCAAGTCGAACCCAAGGACTCCAAGGCCACGAGCTTGTCGAGCAAAGTCACCTTAGCACCATTTCGTGTTTGAGCAAGGTTAGCTCGTGTTTATCATTTTTCCCAGCTTTAGCATGATAAATTAGGAATTAACATGATGAAAAGTGATGCCATGCACGTACAAAATATGGAGATATGATTTTTCAAAGTTTAGACCCTTAAATTCAGAAATGGAGTAACATGCATGAGCAGGCCGATTTTTATAGCTCATTATCCCTCAATAATAATGTTAATGACATTGGTAAAAGATTGGCATGCTTTGAGTTCATATGTTCGGTCAAGTTGTTAGGGAAATCGAACTTATTTTCACCTCCGAGCCTAAGATATATGCATGCGAGTATTACCCAATGTTCTAGCCTCTATATCCATGATTTTTGATGTATTGTATTCGGCCTTAAGTGAAATTATAAGTTAAACATGTTCGTTCGGTGACCTAGGGCTCAAGGGTGCCATATCAGCCCTACCGAGCCAAGTCAAAATCCAACAGAGTTGCCCTAGCATTTCTTGGCATATTTACATGTTTTATATCATGTTATGTTGGTTTAGTTCGGTTTTCACCGGAAAAGTAGCCGGAAGTCTGGCAAGCACCGGCCACGGCCACTGGCTGCGCATGCAGCGCGCACAGTGTCGGGCCCGTGCCCAACAGAGGCCAAGTCTGTCATGTCCAGTGCCTTCAGAGGCTAAGTTAGGCCACAGTCAGTGCCCGCTCCCGGTAGGCGCGAGGCACAAGGGTCCCAGCACATGCGACAGTGTCCCAGCAGCGCCTGTCCGTGTCCGCATGCGAGGTCTCGGCGCCAGTCGCTCCCAAGCACCTCCGACAGTGCCCGGCAGCATTGTCCCAGCGTCAGTGCACGCATGGTCTCGAGCCAGTCGCTCGTGCCGCACGGAGTAGCCTTCGGGTCGTGCCAGCCGCAGGCCCGAGTGTTCAGTGTTGTAACCAGCGAACCCGAGTGGTGTTCCTTATGCTCAGTTAGCCTCGGTACGTTCCCAGCAGCACGCCCGAGTGCCAAGGATCGCCCAGCCGCGCCAGAGCCCACGCGGGTATTGTCTGTCCGCACCAATTGTGCCAGACCCGAGTTCATCCGGGCCCAGAAGCACGCCAGCGCTCCAGTCGATCTCGGTTGTGCCCAGCAGCACCCGAGTGGCCCAGTTGTGCCAAGGCCGTGCCAGCCAAGCCTGGCTGCGCCTAGCAGCGCCCAACACCGAGGTCCGGTCGCACCCAGCTCGTGCCTAGTGCCGCGCCCGGCCAGTTCATGCAGCCCGTGACCACCAGGTCCAGAGTGACCCGACAGTCCAACCCGGTCGGTTCAGCCCGACCCAGTTCAACCAGTTAGCGAACCGGCCGGTTTAGCCGGCGGTTCGAGTCAGTTTTGGTTCGTGATTTTCGGTCCGAGTCTTACTCCGAAATTTAAGTATTTTTCCGAGTCAAACCAGTTCAGTTGAGCATATCAGTCTAATTTCCAGACTTAGAATTATTTTAGTGAACCCTTAGAGTATTCCTTTATATCCGGATGAGTTATCTGATAGAGTAGAGCATCTTAGCATATTATTGAGCATATGACGAGCATAGTACTTAGTATATTTGTTTGCTTATATTTTTATGTAGCTTGAGGAGTCAGCTACCAGCACAGCCGCACTTACGAATTTTCAAAGCAAACCAGGTGGGGACCCAGTCTGGGTTATACATTGAGTATAATAGTTGATATCATGTTCATGTATGTATATGAATTTTATCCGCTTATGGACGAGGCTGAGTTGCCCTCGCCTAAGTTCTGGTGGTGGCCCAGTTTGCCTATACCATTAGAGTGTGCACACGGTACCGGCCAAAGTGTCCGAGAGATTACAGTTACCGGCCATAGTGTTCGAGAGATTTCAGTTTACTTATGCATACCCGTACTGTGATATCATTATTATTATTGTTGTTTACTTTAGCCTGAGTTTTTATGGAGTACAAGAGGACCAGTACCCACCCCCATTATGTTCATCAGATGGCAGGGTCGGCGGGCAGGTGTGAGGGCAGTTGTGGTGGTTGTGGTCGTGGAGTTGGCACAGCGAGCCGTTCCAGGGACATTTGTTTAATATGGTTTGTATAACTATTATGACCACGCATTTTCGGACTTCCGCTACGTTTATTTTCGTATCGAACTTGCATGACAGTATTATCAGACTTTAAAAGTTTTACCCGGTTCACCAGCACGAACGGGTCCAGCCTTACATGCTTGATTCGATAAAATATTTAATCTGATTTTCTTTAAGTCTAAACCAGTCGATAGACGTAGTTTAAAGAAAATGGATTTTTAAGCAGATAAGTTTTTAGCAGCATCCCGAGATAGTTTGCAAACGATTTCGAAAAATTTATAAGCGTTTTCGGAAGTAAAATTTGCAAAAAATGGCCCTAAGTAGCGGGGTGTTGCATTGTTCATGGAGGGTATGACCATCATTGTAATGGTCGGTAGGAAGGTCAACAGCAGGAAGAACGTCCCTTAGAAAGGACGATACCCCCACACCATCGAGCTGGGTCAGTGAGATGGTGGAGGAGTGTGTGGCAGGGGCGGTCTCCTCAAGTCTATGGCGTTTATTAACCCCCTCAGTTCCCTCGACAGGGGGACGCTTGAATTGGCTCTCCTCGAGTCGACTCTCCTCGACCAACTTGGCATTGGGAGAAGCAGGTATATGAATGATTGGAATGCTCGAGTCGGGAAGAGGAGAGTGTTGGTTGCGGAGATGGAGGTCGTTCGGGTTGTTCGAGAGGAGCGACGATCGTAGAGGGTGTAGACTGCACCTCGACGAGTGGCTCCTGGTTTGAAGTGATCCGAGGCTCGACCTCCATGGACGAAGTCATCCGATCAAGTGGCGGTGATACGGAGCGATTAGACGGAGGCGAGGTAGAGCGTTGTGACTGCGAGGGGGTCGAGCCTGCAGGCCTCGAGCTCGACCCTTCAGTAGATTTCTTCTTCAGAGGAATCCTCCTCTTAGGCAAGGGAATTGCAGGCATCTCTGTAAAGAATCAAGAACAAATTAGCACCGCAACAGACAAAACACATGTAAGAATAAAAACAACAACGCTCGAGCTTGGTAGCCACTAATTACCTAGATCGTTTTCGATGAGGACAAGGTCAAGGGTTTCTTGGGTAGGACGAGATAGAGACTTATGAGTAAGAAGGCCGCAAAAATGTAGAAGATTATCGTTTTCAAGGAGAGTTTTTGACACAACAGGCTTGCGGTTCCACGCAGCAATCCGTTGGTCGAAAAGAGCGTTCTGAGGGGGTGACGCATGTTCGCGCTTGAGCTCCTAAAGCCAAGGAGTTGGCGCCTAAGGGAAAGCAGGTTTAGGCTCGACAAAAGCAAATCTATGTTTCCACTTAGGAACATTTTGAACGAGTGTCGGAGAGGAAGTGGACGTCATTGCGGCTTTTAAGGTAAAGCCCTTAAGGAAGTTTCGAGGGCGTGTAGCAATAATGGAAAAAGGCTAAGTCGAGTCGACCTAGACAGAGGTGACAGAGGATAATGAAAGTGGTTATAAAGCGGATAACATTAGGAGGAAGCTGGTTTAGTGGAAGGTCAAACCAGCTACAGATCTCGATTAGGTCCTGGCACAAAGGAAAGCGGACCCCGAGTTTAAATTGGATTTCAAAAAAGGTATAATTGTTTTCGGGTGGCTGGTCATACGTATCTCGAGGACCAGGAGATCTAAAAGCCCAACCAACGGGATAGCCAACATCTTGGGCATCTAGCCATCCCGCTATAAGAGAGGACGACGGTGTTGTCTGGGAAGAGGAGGCTTTGGTCGATTTTTTCTTCTTTTGGACAAGCTTAGGGGGAGCAGTAATGGGTTTGGATTGGTCGATGGGTGAAGCGACAGTGGTCGGAGATTTTACCTGGGATTGGGAAGCAACGGTCTTCTTGGGATTGCTTGAAGAAGCGGCTTTGGAAAAGACAGAATGGTGAGCCAGGGGAACATTATCCTCATCCTTCTCGTGGGCGGCCTCAGCAGCATCGAGGGCTGCTTCAGCAATGTCAGAAGCCCCAAATGCCGGTCGACGGCGACGGGTGAGAGGAATGTAGTCAAGAGTATCATCGTCTGATTCATCAATCAGACGACGAGGTTGAGGTGGAGGAGAAGAGGTGGTACGATTGGTAGGACGAAAAATATTGTGGGGGACTGGATTGTAAATTTCCTCCACTGAGCGAGAAGGAGAGTAAGGAATAGGCCGACGAATTGGGGATGACGACGTGGCGGTCGCATCTTCGCCGGAGTGGTGGCTTTGTTCATTAGAAGTGGCGGAATCTGAAAAGTAAAAGAAAGGAAAATCAAAAAGAAAAGGAGAGAAGTTTAGGTTTTGGAAGGTGAAAAAGGAGCACCCTTTACAGATGAAATAAGGAAATTTGGGACGAGAAGAGCCAACAGGGAAAATCAAAAATAGACAAAATAAACACACGCAAATACAAAATTAGAGCGCAAGAGTCTTACTCATGGTCGCAATAGAGAGAGTCGCCGGAGAACTTGGATGGAGCAAAGGGAAAGCGCCGAGAGCAGGAAAGCACAGTTTACAGGGGAAGAAATTAGGGCACAAGAGAACTCAGAATTTGGAAAGGTGAGAAAAGGCTGAAAAATCGCTAAGTATAGTACTTATACGAGTACAGAAGAAGACAAGTTGAAGAGTTGGGAGAAAGAACCGTTGGATTAAAGGGAGATCTAACGGCTGGGAGAATTAAATGAACACGAATAACGAAGCGGCGCAAAACGCGAGGAGACACGATGATTAAAAGTACTGAATAGATAAGATGCGTGGCAGATGGAAATTGCATTAATAATAAAGGTAAGTGAAAGGCGGTTGGAAATTCACTATAAGACCAATCGAATGGCCGAAAGAACGAGGCTCAATAATGGTCGAGGAATAGAGATAACGCTGGTTAAGGGGTCGAGACGGCGGTAGACCCAAGAAGCCAATACAAACTCACTCTTAGATCGAGTCATTCAGACTCGACCAGAGTGGGGGGACTAGATGATATGGAATATTATATACCTAAAGAATATGCCGGTTCACTAGGCTGGTCGTACAAGCCCAATATTAGAAATGCTACACCAGTCGAGCAGTAGCAGACTGAAAGGAAGTGGTCGAACAACGGAGAAGACCTGGTCGAGGATTGACCTACCAAAGGGGAACGCATTTGATCGACCACTCGGTGAGTGAAGAGCAATCTAGGGTGTGGTGTGAACGCGAGAAAGTGCGTGAACTTTGTCAGGAAATCCCAAGAAATATTAAGGGGAGTAATTACTCTCGGTTAAGAGGGTCACGTGGCGAGAAGATATTGGTGCAGAGCAATAGTGGTGATAACCACCTCTGACACACACACACACACACTGCGTGTGTACGGACGGGCAGAGTTGGGCAGACAGCTCACCAAATCCGGGCAGCTCCTAAGGCAGGTATCTCACTCCTATATATATAGGAGTGAGCCTTTCTTGTTACTTACGATTTATCTATTTTTACTCTTGAGAATTGAGTGAAACACATACTGACTTAAGCATCGGAGGCTCTTCACCGGAAAAAAACCTCCGGTGTGAGAGTTCTTTGCAGGTACGCGGCGTTCTACCGGTGTGAGAGTTCTTTTCAAGTGGGTCGGAGTGTTTTGCGTTACCAAATTAATATATATTTTTTATATATTTTACATGTATAATATATAATTGCATATATTTTTATCATTAGTTTTATAGTGTATAATATATAATTGTATATATTTTTATCATTATCAGATTAAACACTGAAATGCTAAACTTATTATATAAGGTTTGTATTTATTTTGTAAATTATAAATTTGTAACAATAATAAAATATACATAATTTTTATTTATTTTTTTAAGTTGGGCTTTAAGTTTTGAATTTTCGCAACTTTGCANCAAGAATAGGGAGAGAGGCACATGTAGAGAGGAAAAAAAACAAGAGGTCGAGGTCACCACCAGAGAAGGAGGAACTTCCTCCGAATAAGGGAGTAATTCATATGATATTTGGAGGACCAACAGATAGAGATTCGAATCGGGCAAGGAAGGCATATGCTAGAGGCCATCAGCCTAGATGTGAGGTACTGCAAGTCGCTGAAAGTGGACAGTGGTGGATTTGGGGCCAACGGGTGTTTGAGAGATCGAAAGACCACATAATGATGTTCCCAGTGGCCACTTCACAGCAGCAAGAAAAAAGTCCCAAGTTCACTTCCATATTCACATGCTACCATTCACAGGGCTCTGCTTTTCTTTCTTCCTGTTGGAGTGATGAGTGAGGGCAATTTTTTTTCTTTCTTTGGTTAATGAGCGAAGGCCGTTTATAATTCACATAATTTAAAAAAAAAAGAATTAAATTAAAAAAAAATTGAACCTAATGTTACCACTATTAACGAATACTCTAAGAAAATATTAAATATTAGATTAAAGTACTAATGTCTAAACAAGTAATCTGTAACTATATCTATAAGTCTACTAAGTTTTCTATTTTTTATATTTTTTTATCCTTATCGGTTGGGTTCGGTTTTACCAAATTCTTATGGTTTCGGAACCGATACCGAACCGATAACATTTCGGTAACCGATTTTCGGTTACCGTTACAAGCGGTTTTGTTCGGCTCAATTCGATTCGGTTCGGTTTTTTATTTTCGATTTTCGATACAAAACTAGCCCTAATGCGTACATACAAAAAAAATGCCCAAACAGTGATAATTATTGCGCTTTTGAAATTGGCCTACGTCACAAGCAAATGAAGAACAACAGGAAAAGGAGAAAAAAATCATTGTCCCACATCGGAAAAGCGTCAAAGAAATGAAGTGTTTTTAACGAGGAAGTCAGAATTGGACATTTCAAAAGAAGAACCGCTTCGTATTCTTTAGTTTCCTAGTTTTTCAACAGTCCAAACGATTTCTAACCAGTTTTTTTGCTAGCGGTTTAACACCTCAGACTGAATCGCTGTGATAGCCGGCTCAGACTGAATCGCTGTGATAGTCGGTTCCCAGTTAAATCGGTCGAACCGGTCAGATTTGATTTTCCAACCCATGTCAATTACAATACTCCACAAACCACCAAAAACGAAAGGAATGAAATAAAGAAAGAAAAGAAGGTAGGTTTTATTATTGAAAGCAAATAAAATGAAAAATGTAAACCAAAGTAGGTAGCAAAACGGAATAATAATAAATCCTTCTAACAACGTTTCTCACAGCATGCATCATCATCAGTTTGAAGTAAGGATACACATACAAATCTGGGCGCGGCCGCATCATTTCAATTGGCTCCTATCTCCCTACCCACTCAATCAA